GTTGATGGACAGGGAGGCCTGGCGTGCTGCAGTCCCTGGGGTCACAAAGAGTCGGACACGACTGAGTAACTGAATAACAACAACAATAAGAACAATGTACAGACTGTAAAGCCAAGTCACGACTTCTGGAAGTGCTGTTTCCCCAAAATGTGGCAGTTAATGCTTCATTTTCTTTTTTTAAAAATCTTAATTCTTCATAGAACAACCTGTCCAGTTCTCACCTGGTCCTCATTTATGCTCATTTCCACTTTCAGGAGAAGGAAGAAGAAGAATGGGGCAAGACAGAGCTGGCCTGCATCCATGGCCGCCTCACAGTCCCTGGAGGCCCCCACCAGCCACCTCAGCAGGGCCAGGTCGCCTGAGCCCTTCCCCAGCCTCACTAGCTTCCTCACGAGAAAGGACAAGGTTTGGCCACCTGATGCAAAGAGCTGACTCATTGGAAAAGACCCTGATGCTGGGAAAGATTGAGGGCAGGAAGAGAAGGAGACGAAAGAGGATGAGATGGTTGGCTGGCATCACCGACTTGATGGACATGGGTTTGGGTGGACTCCAGGAGTTGGTGACGGACAGGGAGGCCTGGCGTGCTACAGTCCATGGGGTCGCAAAGAGTTGGACACGACTGAGCGACTGAACTGAACTGGTAAAAGTCAAGGAGACCTTAACTGGTGGCCTCTCCATGGGGTTTCCCACAGGAAGAGACCATAACCTGCCACACATCTCCCATGGTCTGTGGATCAGAGCAGGTGAGAGAATTCATGAGCTTTGGTAAATCAGTGATGAAGGTCAGAACTCCAGGTTCTTACTCATCCCAAGCTCTGTGCTCTTCAGACCTTTCCATCTCTAGACAAAACGCAGTGAAGTCTCGACAGTGTGTGATGGGTGGGATGAGAGCACTGAACATACTGAGCCCGCTTTTGCAGCTCGAGGCCAGAATATGAGCCCAGCGATCTCAGACAAAGGCCTCCCTGGCTCAAGGGTCGTCCATGATTCAGTGACCCAACAGCCAGCAGCTTCCCAAACCATCACCGTTAATGACAAGCTGACAACCTGTTACGCACAAAGGAAGGTGACAGTGAAGTTAAAGGGAGACCTGCTCTTCTCTGGGTTTCCCAGGTGGCTGAGTGGGAAAGAACCCTCCTGCCAATGCAAGAGCCCCCAAAGGTACGGGTTCGATCCCTGGGTCTGGAAGGTCCCCTACAGGAGGGCATGGCAACCCACCCCAGTATTCTTGCCTGGAGAGTCCCATGAACAGAGGAGCCTGGCGGACTGCAGTTCATAGGGCTGCAAAGTTGGAAATGGCTGAGCACGCGCGCAACGGCTCTTCTTTTGGGTCAAAGATAGCTTGAACATCACACCATGCTGAGCTTCAGATCCAGTCCTTGGAGCTCAGGCCACACTGAATGTGTCTGAAGCACGGCTGGTGTGGACACAACTCTGTTTACCCTGCTAGCCAAAGGCTGCCGTGGGGTAGCCATGCTGGCGAGCTGCGGCCAGGCTCACAAAGGCACCTTGTAGCTCTGGGGCTGAGCCTCAATGGTCTGTCTGTTACATCTTCTAGGGCATTTTGATGTGTCATGTAGACCCAGCTGCCAAGCCCGGCAACCAGCTCTAATCCTTCAGACAGTTCTTTTTGACGTCATCACATCGAAACACATGATGCTGCCCACAAATACCTTGGCAGCCCTCCAGGATAGCTTCCTCCTCGCCCTTCCTGTCTTCCACTCATAGCATACCTACTGCCAAATGACAAAAAGCAGCAAGACCCCTTTATGCCCTGCCATGTAACACAGAATAAAGCCCAAGAGAAAGAAGGAGACTGGGAATATTTCCATTATCGATCAAGCTCTAGATGCAGAGTTAAATGATTAAGGAAAAAAAAAAGTGAACTATCACAACCCAAACTCTGATATGATTCTGCAATCACTACCATGGATTATTTAACTCTGGCAAATCAATGTGCTAATAACCACAGATTTGAAGACATATTTTTCCTCTTCAAACCTGATAGCTCTTAAATTTCAATTTCTCTTTGGCTTTAGGAATCATAAAAGGGTGACCACAAGAGCTCTCCCAGGCTGCACTTGGATACCCCAGTGGGGTCACACTGTGTCCGCTGCGTCCTGCTGCCTGTCAGGGGCCTGCAGGTCAGTACATTGCTTCAAAACTACCACTGCCACCGAAGGCAGGGAAATGTGTCAGCAGCTGCCAAGTGAGTGACAGGCCAGCTCACTCTCTCTGCCAAGGCCCAGTCACTCTCTTTTCAGAAGCTGTACAGCCAAAGTAGGCCCTGCACCCAGCCATTGGGGTCACTTGGGAAAATCTCAGCTCATTTGATTTAGAATCTGATAAATAAAGCCTCTGGGGAGAATGAAGACACAGCCATAACAGGCAGTGACCCACTTGTCTTCTCTTATGCTCCACACTCTCCCCAGGCAGAGTAAGCTCAGAAACATCTAAACTCTAGCAATTTCCAAATGGGTATCTCCAGAGCCAACTTCTCTCCTGAGAGTTTGCTTTCCAACTGCCTTATTTCCAACAGTGTCCATATCTAATCAGTCATTAAATGTTGTCAACTCTATTTCTCTTAGCATATAATGCTCCTCCATACCTATGGCCTCAAAGCTGGGCTACCCTCACCAAGTCTTCTCTGGACACAACCGACCCCATCTCTGCTGGTCCTCATGGCCTCTAGGTTCCTCTTCCTCTAATTTATCCTTTGCTGCCATTAATATCAGCCTAGTAAACATCAACACAAGTCTTTACTGAAAAACACTGGTTCTTGCAATTGTTTATGGATAAATTCTAAACTCTTTAGTATGGCACTCAAAGATCTTCATCAACTGGTCTCAATTTCCTTGTCCAAACACAGTTTCTGCCACTTCCAACCCTGCCATGGCTCTGCATGACTGCAGCTCATGCCAGACAAAACCTCCTAAGCTTTGGTCTGAAGAAATGGCCTTTCCCCTGCATAGTACCTCCTGCTACTTCACCTCTACCCCACAGCTCTTATTTATTCTTCAAGACCCAGCTCAAAGGTCACCTCCTCCGTGCAGCTCTCCCCAAACCCTTCAGCTGTGAGTCATACTGCTCTCTCCGGTTCCCGAATGCTCTCTGCACCTTTCTATCCTAAAACAGCACCCTGCAGCCCAAGGATCTGTTCAGATGCTGGCTTCCCTGAGACGATGCTGGGAGGACCCTGAGGGTGGAAACTGTATCTTTATCTCTGAACTGAGTACAGGGCTGCACAGACTACACATGCAGTAAGTGTTGCTGAATCCATCAGTCGGAGGAATTAGGACGATGGAGGGAAAAGGGTTTGAGAGTCGGGATACCTGAGCCTCACTCCAGCTGCCTCAGAGGTGAGCACTGCAGGAATTGAGTTTCTCACCTCTTGAATAAACAGAGCGTCTTCCCTGCTGGCTCAAACACTAAAGAATCTGCCTGCAATGTGGGAGACCCGGGTTCAATCCCTGGGTCAGCAAGATCCCCAGGAGAAGGGCATGGCAGCCCACTCCAGTATTTTTTGTCTGGAGGATCCCATGGACAGAGGAGTCTGGTGGGCTATAGTCCACAGGGTCACAGAGTTGGACACAACTGAGCAACTAACACTTTCACTTTTCTGCTGAATAAAGGGGTGAGGCTATATGATTTCTAGGTCCCTTTAGCCGCTCTGTTCTAGAATTCAGATATTTTCCTCTAAAATCTACAGTGAAGAAAGACTGTATAAAACCCCATGGTAACAACAAGTTTCAGGAGTTTGGACACTCTCCACAAAGTCAGCCAGGAAAACCGCTGCTCCTCCGGACCACTGGGCCAAGCTCCCCAGGGACAGCCCACAACAGAGGCTCCACCCCAAGCTCAGAAATCCCCACCCGCCTTCTGGGACACCTGGAGAAAATCCCAGTTGACCTCTATTATATTTCAATCTATATATTTTGGCCAAAATGCTGCTTACTAAATATTGTGCACAGACAAAAAAAAGAAACGGATGACAAAAACCTAATATGCCTTGAAAATTAATGAGTACTAAAACATGAGTGAAACCACAAGGCTTACTGTGGAAACAGTATGAAGGTTTCTGAAAAAACTAAAAACAGAACTACCGTATGACCCAGCAATTCCACTCCTGGGTATATATCTGAGAAAAATAAAAGCATTAATTCAGAAAGACACGTGCATCCCAGTATTCAGAGCAGCATTCTAGGTGGCTCAGTGGTAAAGAGTTTGCCTGCTAATGTGGGAGACATAGGTTCGATCCCTTTGTTGCAAAGATCTCCTAGAGGAAAAAACAGCAACCCACTCCAATATTCTTGCCTGGACAAGAATCTCATGGACAGAGGAGCCCAGCGGGGTACAGTCCACAGGGCTGCCAAGAGTTGGACACAACTGAGCAACTGAGCATGCACGCATGCAAAAGTGTTCAAAGGGGCACAGATCAAGAACCGTGTATTCACAGATGATGCAACTTCACAGAAGACAGAGAAGCAACACAGGTATCATCAACTGATCAATGGATAAAGAAGATGTGGTAGATACACGTGATGCAATACCACTCAGTCATATGAAAGAATGAAGGTTTGCCATTTGCAGCAACACAGATGGACTTGGAGGGCAATCTGCTAACTGAAATAGGTCAGACCGAGAAAGACAAATACTGTTTGATATCACCAATATGTGGAATCTAAAAAATACAACAACTAGTAAATGTGATATAAAAGAAGCAGACTCAGGCATACTGGCAACAAACTAGTGGTTACCAGTGGGGAGGAGGGGCAGTGAATGGGCAGGGGATTAAGACGAACAGACTATTAGCTATAAAATAGGCTACAAGGATACACTGTAAGACATGGGGAATATAGCCAATATTTTATAGTAACTATAGGAGGGGCATAATCTTTAAAAATCATGCATCCTCTATTGTACATCTGCAAAATATTATCTACCAACTATACTTCAATTAAAAGAATAAATTTTTTAAATCCTCTAGGCTCGATAATCACCTCGTTACCCCATACTCTGGGGGTGGCTGGTACCTCAGGACGGCCACTTCTGTCCTCGCAGGCTGGGGCGCAGGGTACGGCTTGACCATCTCATGGAGCAGCCCCGGGTGCTGGTCACTGTAGAACAGCCCGTGCTCCTGGGTCTTGCTGACCGGGGACACCATCTGCTTGGTCTTGAAGGGGTACTCGGGCGGAGGCCCTCGGGGGTCCAGCACCTTGGCTGCAGGCTGGGCTGGGGAGGGGCCCCCTCCCGCCTTGAACGCCTTTCCGTTCCCTGGGCCGGGGGGGTGCTGCTTGGCGCCATTCCTCTCCAGCGACAGCTGCATGATCCTCTCGCTGAGAGAGCGGACGTGGCCCTGCTTCAGTTCCTTCAGCGCCTCGTCCTTGTGCGCCTGTCCGCTGTTGGCGCGGCTCACCGTCGGCCTGCCCTCAGTCCGGGTCTTCTGGCTGGTGCCCCCGGCCATGTAGTAGCCGTGCCCCACGGCCCCCGGTTGCTGCTGCGGCGGCGGCGGCGGCGGCGGCTGCTGGCCCCGGAAGAACTGGGACTGCGCCTTGGCCTCCTCGTAGGTGGGCAGCTCCTCGTTGTTCTGCTGAGGCTGCGCGGACCGCACCTGCTTCTCCATCACCGTGTTGTCCACCTGGTGTTCCTGACCCTGCGGCTCCTGGCGTGCTGACTGGTAGACCATTGGTGGGTCTTCTTGAGCGAGGTTTTCCGTGGAAGAAAAGCTGTTGGTGGGGTGGGCTGGCCCTGCACTCCCTGTGGCCTGGTGCTGAATGGCCAGCAAGTTCATGTTCTCGGTCGGCGTGCCATAGCGCAGTTGCTCCTGGATCAGCCGCTGTAACACTGTTCCCGCTGCCGCATCTTCCGAACCTCTCATCTCCACCTCTGGGATCCTCGGGAAGTTCGGGGGGTGGAAGTTACAGAGAGGATCCTCAACTGGAAGATACACATGGGAAAAACGTGTCAGGCTGTTCCACGCGGATACAGGTCTCCACGTATATTGTGAATAATGACCTTTCTAATGATAGAAGCATTTAAAGAGTTCCGATACCCCATCGCCCCCCATGTACCCTGCAGTTTGTCACGGAAGCATCTCTCCAGCTCCCACTTCCTCCCCTCACCTCCTGCTTCCTTCTAGACCTTGGTCAGGCCTTCAAGTTCTCCCTTTAAGCTCTCCACTGACCTCCTTCTCTTCATCATATAAACAGTCTTTCTCATCTTAAAAACAAACAAACAAAAATCAGAACCAAAAAAAAAAAAAACCAAAAACGGAACCACCTTCTCACAGCCCCATGTAAACCTCTAAGTGCCAGCCCGCGTCTCTTCTCTCTTCTCTTCTAACTGTCCTCAGACATCAACCGACACTTGGTCTCCACTTTCCAAATGCTCCAGCCACGGCCCGCCCTTAGAGCTCAAGTTCCAGCAACATTCCAAGAACACAGAGTTCCCAAACATGCTAGCTCTCTCTGGTCTCCAGGTCTTTGTTCCCATTCATCCCCCTGCCTGGAAAGATGCATCTCACCACATCTTTCTTGGGAAATTCCTAGATGTGCTTTGAGGGATGGCTCCAAAGCTACCTTCTAAGTAAACCCCTTCCTGCTGCAGCCCAGCAGGCTTGAGCTCTCCTTCCCTAACGTCCAGGCTCTCTTGTTATACATCTCAAAGACCGATCATCACAGTTGTTGTTTAGTCACTAAGTTGTGTCAGATGGCACTTACTTATGTACACAAGTCTTTGACCATCTTAAGGGCAAAGATCATGCCTCCTCATCTGGGTCTCCCTAGCATACAACTCTATGGTTTTTCCAGTAGTCATGTATGGATGTGAGAGCTGGACCACAAAGAAGGCTGAGCACTGAAGAATTGATGCTTTTGAACTGTAGTGCTGAAGAAGACTCCTGAGAGTCCCTTGGACAGCAAAGAGATCAGACCAGTTAATCCTAAAGGAAATCAACCCTGAATATTCAATGAAAAGGCTGATGCTGAAGCTGAAGCTCCAATACTTTGGCCACCTGATGCGAAGAACTAACTCACTGGAAAAGACCCTGATGCTGGGAAAGATTGAGGGCAGGAGGAGAAGGGGGCGACAGAGGATGAGATAGTTGGATGGTATCACAGACTCAATGGACATGCGTTTGAGCAAACTCTGGGCAAGCAGTAATGGTTCTGTGTTTTTGTTTGTTTCTTTTTTTTTTTAATTAATTTATTTATTTATTTTACTTTACAATATTGTATTAGTTTTGCCATACATTGACTTGATTCTGTGGTTCTGTGTTTTTATATAAACGAAGAACACATCATTTCCCCCAAAACCGTCTCTCTTCCCCAAAGTTGCCTTTTTTCTGATAAATGGCATCCTCATCATAAGAGTCATCCAGATAGAAAATGCAGATACAATTTTGACCCTTGTGTTTCCTTTCTCCATTTTTTTAAAGTCATTCATTTATTTATCTATGTGTTTGGCCATACCGCATGGTATGTGGGATCTTAGTTCCCCAACCAGCAGTCAAATCCACGTCCCCTGCATTGGAGGCATGGAGTCGGAACCACTGGACTGCCAGGGAAATCTGGCCTACAGATTAACTGTGCCCTATAGTTAATCAAGTGCCAAGCTGGTTTTTCAGTCTACAGTAAAATAAGAAAAAATGAAGGTGGTGTGATACTCTTACAAGATATATAAATACACACATAATCAGCATATACATATATATACACACATACCCAGATACACATAAACTGAGTCTATTGCCTTCTTTTAGCAGGGGCTGCTATCAAGGACTATATTCGTCTTACACTTTTTGGTATTAAAATATGCGAAAAGGTGACAGTAGATGGCATTTGAGTGTCTCTGTAGCAGCAAAGAGCTTCCACGCCCTCAACCATTCCCCAGGTTCCAGCTCCGCTAACCAGCTGCTGAATGTCCTCAACAGCCTGACATCTGGCCTTGTCTCTGGCCTTTTCTTTTAATCAACAGTGTATTTATTACCTGTCTTCTGCTACTAGAATTCTCTCGCACCAGGGGACAGACAGCCTTATCTGTTAAAATCATATACTGTGAACCCAGCGCCTAGAACACTACCACGATACACAAGAGGCATTCAGGAAAGAACTGTTGGGGGGCGGGAGATATATTAGAAGTTTGGGATTAACATATACACACTACTATATATGAAATCAGTAAACAACAAGGACCTACTGCATAGTACAGGGAACTATATTCGATATCTTGTAATAATCTATAATGGAAAAAAATCTGAAAAATAATTGACATAATACAGATATATAGATATACATATAACTGTATCATTTCACTATACACTTGAAATTAACACAGCACTGTAAATTAACTATACTTCAATTTAAAAAATGGTTTAAAAAAAAAGAGAAAGAAAGAATTGTTGAGTAAAGAACTCTACAGACTGGTTCCTGAAGCTCACCTCTGATCTACCCCTCGTGACCTCAGGCAATTACTTGGCTTCTCTGAAACTCTCTCTATCCTCTGAGATCAGGCTTCATATCTGCTTCACAGCATGGTATGTGGAGTAAATTCAAACTTACTGCTCATTTTCAGAGAACGTGCACCATAACTGAGATACAAACCCGAAGTTCAACAATAAGAACTTTGCAACAACAGAACACTAAAAGTCCACCCAAGATGAACTGCTGAATAACTGTACTAAGTGATACACAATTCTAGGAAAGCAATTAACAGCGTGGGTTGAGTTGAGCCATCACTCACTCCACAAATACCAACTGCCAACCTGTGATATTCAGGCATTCTGACAGGTGCTGGGTTAGGAGAGTAAAGAAGACAGTTCTTACCCTCAGGGCTTGATGAACAAGCAAATTCAAATAAAATTGAAAACAAAATGGATAAAAATTCAAATAAAAACACATTTCCAAAGGAAAATGATTTTTTTGGATGAATAATAAAAGGAATGGGGTCTCATTAGGCACAGAAACTACTGAATCTCCTTTTTATGTGCACATCTGGCAAGAACCTGAAGATCCTTCTTTAATGTGGTTTTGAAGATTCATTCCTTCATGGTGTAACCAATCTCATAAACCCTTAAAAATAGGCAGGAAATATTTACAAAGGAAGTGGTTCCTTTCCAAATACAGTTTAGAATTTCTCTGAATTTCTGAATTACCTGCAAAAAGAGGTATAAATGAAAGCAGAGAAGAAAAAAGAAATGAAAGATTCTAGGAACAAGTACAAAAGAACATTTAGGAATTAGAGAAAAATTAGGCACTCAGTGGTATAATTCTGAAGTTCCTAGGTACTCTGGAACTCTCTCTGTTGAGTGAATCACATATTATAATAGTCTATTAACACCAGCAGTAAAGAATCCGCCTGCAATGCAGGAGCCGTAGGAGACAAAGGTTCAATCTCTGGGTCAGGAAGATCCCCTGGAGGAGGGCATGCAACCCACTCCAGTATTCTTGCCTGAAGAATCTCATGGACAAAGGAGCCTGGTCAGCTACAGTCCATAGGGTTGCAAAGAATTGGACATTGCTGAAGCAACTTAGCATGCATGCACGCACAATGTTAAGCAAACATTAAAACTAAGGCACTGATCAATAAAGAAACAACCAGTATTCCAATATGTTGCTTTTTAAAAAGAGAATAGAGAAAAAATTATTCAGAAGAGTGAAAAACATAAAATCATTCTGCTTTTCCAACATGAGTGCCAGTGAAAGAACTTACCAACTTTTTCTCTGATGCCACTGTTTGTCTCCACTGTCAAAGATGCTTCATGCCTCCCAGGATAGAGCTGAAAGTCTGGGAAAAAGTAGCTGGGGTCTTCCAGAATCTGGATGGGGCTGCTGGGACTGTAACAGGCCGGAGGGGGACCTGGGGCAGAGAGCAAAGTGCACCTTGGTGTCAACGAAGTCCTCCTCGCCATGTGACTCACCCCAGCCATTCTCCCCCACGCCTTTCCACTGGCAGGGGCAGCCCTGTCTTTTTGACTCATAAAATTCCAAACTAACTATTCAGAATCATCACAAGTCTGGCACCCACCACAAAGACCCGTGAGGTCATAATCATAGTTTTCAAGACACACTGATCAAAGTCAGGGGCCCTTTCATACAACCCATTTCCAAGGGCAGCGGCATGAGCACCCACAAACATCAAGTCCCCTGTGGAGCTGGACAAGCCACCAGGTTCAGAGCAGTCAAAGGGAAGGGGGCGGGGAGGCCAGAAAGGGGAAAACTAAAACGGAAAGAGCAGCTGTCTCTTGGAGCATCTCGAAGATGCAGAGAGGAGTGGTCATTTTGCCCGGCCACGTGTTAGCAAGGGTTGGTCGCAGCCAAGCACCACGCGATCGGCCCCACTCTGGGGGTTCTGGATCCTCCTGCAGCAGCGTGAGCCCGGGTCATGGGTTCTGGCCCTCCGCCCAGCACTGGCCTTTCAGATCCCACGTATTTGCCTCACAAACAAAGCTGGACACGCTTCCTGTTTCAATTAAATGTGACACTGGGTTCAATCCTGCTGTCACTGAACACAAGGTACTACAACATGACACTGATACAGCACAAACAGCACTGAGGGAGCACCCAGTGTGGTGAGCGGGAGCACCCAGTGTGGTGAGCGGGAGCACCCAGTGTGATGAGCGGGAGCACTCAGTGTGATGAGCGGGAGCACTCTGTGGGGGCGCGGGGAGTCCCGGCTCCACCCTCTCTGCACTGACTTCTCTCCGTGGGCACCCAGTTGAAGGCTCTTTATGGCAAAGGTAATTTAGTCATGCTTTTTTTAAAAAATCAAAATCCCTGCCTCCAAGATAATTCCATTAAGAAAAAAATACTGTTTTTCAGTCACCATGTCAAATGGGTCATTCGAAATTTCTTGCCAGGATGGTTATCTATCCACTTCCCATAAGGCCAAAGCAACTAATTATTCTGAGAGGCGGTAAGATGGAAATTTACTCATCCTCTTCCTGAGTTTCTCTCCCTCAACCCATGAAACAACATTTGGACGTGTGCTCACATGTAGCAAAAGGCTTTCCTGGTGGCTCAGTCGGTAAAGAGTCTGCCCACTACGCGGGAGACCTGGGTTCGCTCCCTGGGTTGGGACGATCCCCTGGAGAAGGGAAAGGCTACCCACTCCAGTATCCTTGCCTGGAGAATTCCATGGACAGAGTGGGCTACAGTTTATGGGGTCACAAAGAGTCGGACACGACCAAGTGATTAGCTGTCTTTCTTTTCACATGTAGCATAAGCATGTCTGGACTACTGGGAAAAAGACAAAAAAAGATTTTGACAACTAGAACATTTATCTTACAATGTTAAAATAAATAATGCAGTTGTGAGTTAGAGCTTAAGGTTGACTATAATCTGAGTAAGAATGACATACTATATAAAGATCAGCCTAAAACGACAGGCCCAGCGCCTCTGACAGCATCCGTCAGCACTCTCTTTTTGGCCAATCCGCAGGGACTACCATGGAACGAAACTCAGTCCCTTCTGGGCCTCACCCTCTACATCTATAAGTCTCAAAGTCGAGAGTTAAAATTAGAAATCAATGGCCTGGATCCAAAGGCAAATCCTAGGTTGGCTTCTAATTCAGACAGGTGGAAAATGTTGGTGGAAAGTTGGAGAGACGCACGGAGCAACCTTGGCCGCCCAAGAGGACCCCCTGGGGAGCTCTCCAATGCCAGCATCCTGGCCTCACCCGGACTTGGCAGTCAGTGGCCCAGAATAGGACCCAGTCATCTGCATTTCATAAAGCTCTTCGTATGATTCCAATACGCAGCCACAGGTGAGAAGCCCTAAGCCAGAAGGAGAACAGTGTACACGGACAAAGAAACGGGAAAACACAAACACACCTGCTGCACCCGCAGCCCCTCCCCCATCAAATGAGCACGGGGAGCAGCTGAGGACCCATATGCTTCAGCCAAGAAGAGAAAGTTCGGCAGAGACACACTACAGTATAAAAGATAGATAAACAGCAACATATTATATACAAAATAGATACACAGTAGGTAAGCTATATAGCACAAGGAGCTGTATCCAATACCTTGTAATAATCTATAATGGAAAAGAATCTGGAAAAAAAAAACATATATACACACAACTGTGTCATTTACTGTACACCTGAAAATAACACAACATTGTTAAATCAATTACACTCCAATTCAATTTTTCTTTTTTTAGGTGTGGTATTCTCTTACAGCAGATCTGGGTCAGGAATGGCAATATGCCAGCAGATTACAACTCCAGGCCCTACTGTCAAATTGTAAGTGGTAACAGAGAGCAACCTGCCAATAAAGTTGAGGCATACCTAAGAATATATATGCACCTTATATGGGTATATAAAGGAGTGTGTAAGAGATGTGAGTAGGTATGGATACATGCTTTCAACATGGATGTCAGTTACCACGCGATCCAGCAATCCCACTCTGGGCATATACCCAGACAAAATTCTAATTCAAAAAGATACATGCACCCCGTGTTCACGGCAGCACTGTTCACAACAGCCAAGACCTGGGAACAACCTAAATGCCACTGACAGATGACCAGATAAAGAAGATGTGGTGCATGTAGACAATGGAATACTACTCAGCCATCAAAAGAACAAAGCAACGCCATTTGCAGCCACATGGATGTAACTAGAGATTATCATATTAAGTGAAGTTAAGTCAGACAAAGACAAACACCACATGATATCACTTATGTGTAGAATCTAAAATAAGACAGAGATGAACCCATCTGTGGAACAGAAACAAGGTCACAGACATAGAGAACAGGCTTGTGGCTGCAAGGGGGAAGGGTTGGAGGAGGGGTGGGGTGGCAGTCTAGATTAGCAGATGCAAACTATTATATCCAGAATGGATAAACAAGGTCCTACTGCACAGTGCAGGGAACTACATTCAATAGTGAATCATCATGGAAAAGAACATTAAAAAAAGAATGCCTGTGTATGTATATATATGTACATATATACCTGAATCACTTTGCTGTATAGCAGAAATTAAAACTTTCTAAGTTGCTGAAGCTGAAACTTCAGTACTTTGGCCCCCTCATTCGAAGAGTTGACTTGTTGGAAAAGACCCTGATGCTGCAAGGGATTGGGGGCAGGAGGAGAAGGGGACGACAGAGGATGAGATGGCTGGATGGCATCACCGACTCGATGGACATGAGTTTGAGTAAACTCCGGGAGTTTGTGATGGACAGGGAGGCCTGGCGTGCTGCAATTCATGGGGTCACAAAGTCGGACACGACTGAGCGACTGAACTGAACTGAAATCAACTATACACCAGTTAAAAACTTTTCTTAAAAATAAATTAATTAATTGGGGGAAAAAAAGGAATCCTACACTAAGTTTCTCCTATCACCACCACACTGGTATAAAACACTTTTCCGCACCTTATCCAATGGTCTGCCAAGAGACAGCGAGCTCCAGGGCTCCAGGGCACAGAGCACTGGGCAGAGGGCAGGGCTGGATGGTGGGCGTGAGCACCGAGGGCATCAAAGATGTGCCCCCATCGCCATTTCTCCCTCAGGCTTCGGTATTAAGAACGAACGAAAAAATAAATAAATAAATAAAATTAAAAAAAAAAAAAAGAACGAACGAATGCACTGCACACTCGTGTATGAACACATGCACCTATGGAGACAGAAGGACAGGATGCCCAATTCCTTACTGACATTTAAGACGCGATAGCCCCCACACTGAGTCCTGCTCCCACTCTGCCCACCTCAGAGCGGGGAGAGAGAAGGCGGCCCAGCAGATGATCAGGACAGACCCTGCAGACAGACAGACCAGGATCATCACTCCACTGAGCCCAGAGATCCCCCCGGGGCGGGGCAGGGCCGGGGGTGGGTACTGCCACGCTTCACTTCTGTTCCCTCACTGGGAAGACAAGGGAAAACACCAGTAACACGGATCACAGGAACGTGATTCCTGGACTGTGTGGCAAAAATGAAAGAGAGACACCATCCCCAGGCCCATGTGCACATAATCTTTCCCTTCCTGTTCAGTTCAGAATCTTCATTAGGAACTCTGGTCCCGTAATTTGCATCTGTTTTCCTATGTAAAAACACAGTGTCCATAATCTAACCAATAGGGTCAAGTGTCTCTGAAATCAGAAACTGGACATCATGATCCGTCATGAGCAGAAACGCAGTTTTCCCTGTTAGCACTTCTCCAGGCCTGGGAGCAGGAGTTGCAAGAAAGCGCAGGAGACGCCTGGACACCACCCCTTCCCGGCGAGCGCTGCAGGGCCTGGCTGGGGCCCAGGGCATATGGAACAGGGCAGTTTTCAGGGGCGTCCATGAAACCTGGACCATAAAGAAGGCTGAGTGTGTAAGAACAGGAGCTTTTGAAGTCTCTTGAGAGTTCCTTGGATTGCAGAGATCAAATCACTCAATCCTAAAGGAATATTCATGGGACGGAATGATGCTCAAACTGAGCTCCAACACTTTGGCCAGCTGATTCGAAGAGCTCACTCATGGAAAAGACCCCGATGCTGGGAAAGATTGAGGGAAGGAGGCGAAGGGGACGAGAGGATGAGATGGTTAGACAGCATCACTGGCTCAATGGACATGAATGTGCACAAACTCCGGGAGATGGTGAAGGACAGGGAAGCCTAGCATGCTACAGTCCTTAGGGTCGCAAAGAGTTGGACACCACTGAGCGGCTAAACAACAACAGTGGCTGAGCAAGGATTCTGCTTCTGTGTAATCTTTACAAGGAGCTGCCTCTAGGGGTTTCAAAAAGTCAATCTTCTCATACAGTTCTCTTGGCTCAGGAACCTGCAGTTACCTGCTTTCAAACCAGACCTTCATCTAAGCACCACCAAGGACACAGCTTTGGTCTGCATGGTGAAAGTGGCAGGAACAACAGAAAAAAAA